GCTGCTGCTGCTGCTGCTGCTGCTGCGCGGACAGGGGGGGCCCCGAGGCGGCGCTGGAGGCCCCCGAGGCAGGCAGTGGCGGGCAGCAGCAAACTCAGCAGCGCTGCATGCGTTTGGATTTGGGGCTTTTAAATAAAAATAAAAAATTAAAAATGCATGCAGAATTAATTTAAAATTGAGGGAAGACACGGGGAGCCAGCTGTTCCTGCTGCTGCTGCTGCTGCTGCAGTGGCTCGTGCTGCTCGCGGCGCAGGAGCAGCAGCAGCAGCAGCAGCAACAGAGCCACTGGTCCAGCCGCCTCCCCACATCGCTCTTCTCTTCAATTCTTTTCTATCTTGCTTTTTGTTTTATGTATTTATTTTTATTTTTATTTTTGAAACTAAAAGGACCCCACAACACCGCTGCTGCTGCTGCAGGGGCCCCCCTGCTGCTGCAGGGGCCCCCTGCTGCTGCGGGGGCCCCAGCCCAAGGCACTGAAGCAGCAGCAGAAAGTTCTGCTGTTACAAACAGCTTCGGAAGCCGCTGCTTAGGTGCTGTGCTGCTGCTTCTGCTGCTGCTGCTGTTGATGCGGCTGCGGACAACAGCTCAACTCTGTGCTGCTGCGGCTGCTGCTGCTGCTGCTGCTGCTGCTCGACGGAGGCGTCTGCTTCTGCAGGCTCAGTAATAACTTGTTTAAAATGGCAGCAGCAGCAGTAGAAGATTTACATTCACAAATAAATGCAAACAATTGCCTATTTCCACATTATACATATATATATAATACATATTATATATATATGAGTTGCGCACACACAGCAGCAGCAGCAGCAGCAACGGGGAAGCCGCAGGCAGCAGCAGCAGCAACAGCAGCAAACGCAGCAGTTCAAGGGGTCCCCAGGCCTCCGCAGAAAAAGTAGCTTGTCTTCTTTCAGCGATGCTCTCATTGCACTATTGTTTAGGTTTTAGGATCTAGGGTCAAGGTTTTAGGGTTTAGGGTTGAGTTTTTAGGGTTTAGGGTTTAGGGTTTAGGGTTTAGGGTTTGGGCGAGAATCCCGTCTCGAGGCCCCGGACGACACCACCGAGGGGCCCAAAGAACAAATAAAGCAAAAGACAAAAATGATTTGTGAGCAGCAAAGGGGGGCCCCTCTAGGTGGAAGGTAATTGTAATGAATTTATTTGTGTAGTTATATATATTTATCACAGTAAATATATTTACATATGCGTACTTACCAAAATAATATATTTATATATTTATATATATGTGTTATAATAAATAGATTTATGTATTTATGTATAGTTGTTGAAGCAATATATTTATGTGTTTTTGTACATTCATTATAACGAGTATATGTGCTTATTCTTGTATATTATAATAAATATATGTTTGTATATATATATATACTTATTATGATAAGTATATTTATGGGTTATATATACTTGTTCATTTATATTATTTATTTGTATGTCCTTATGGTTATATATATGCCTTGGGCTGTACTCCATTTATATCTTTAATGGCATAAAGGCCCTTAAGAGTCTTTAATGATTAAAAATACATTTTCTAAAAATAATAAATCTGGAAATTTCCACAATATTAAAAAGTCCTATTAAGATATGATATCATAAATAATAAATGCTGCAGACGCAAAAAATATAAATAAAAAAAATAATATTTCTGAGCCTGCAGGCTTGCTGCAGGAACCAAACCAGCGCATGCATGCAGGGCTTTCTGCATGCGGGGCTTTTTAAGGAAATAAGAAGAATAAATTAGATTAAAATTATAAATAAAATGCAATTAAAGAAAGTCCAAATTATGAAGTAAATGAATCATTTGGATTTAATGCAACACCAGCTCCAGAGCCCTGGGGTGTACGTGCACTAGGGTTTTCCGCGCATGCGCACTACGCAAACTTTCCCGCTGAAACTAAATAAATAAATAAATAAATTAATTAAATGGATAAATAATGAAAATAAATAAAATTCTTTTTTTTAATTATAATGAAGTATTTGCAACTACAAAATGGCTTTGCTGCCCAAAAAGCCACAAATGCGCATTTGCATGCAAACCTTGTGTAATTTGTGGTGTCTAGACACCAGACATACTAGAAATACAGGCAAATGCGGAAATATAAAATAAATAAATCCCATAAATACAAAAATGTGAATTTTTAAAAACAAACATAATATCCTGGAGGGTCTGTAGAGGCAGCTAGCCCGTGGCTAGCCAAAAAGGGCCCCTTGGCTAGCTGGCAGCCAGAAAGCCTCAAGTCTCTAGTTAGCTAGCCGCTAGCTAGCTACTGGCCCCTAGAGGATAGCTAGCTAGCCAAAGGGCCCCAGGGGCCTACCTAGCTAGCAAAAGGGCCCCTACAGGATAGCTAGCTAGCCAAAGGGCCCCCACAGCGCTGCAGCAGAGTTGAGAGCAGCAGCAGATGAAATTAGAAATCCTTTTTGAGGCTTTTAAATTGCTGCTGGAGTTCCCCGTGTGCTGCGGCTGTTCATTTGCTGCTGCTCTTCTTTCTGCTGCGCTGCCTCTAAATTCGATTTGTATCTCAAAGCGTTCCAAACCTGCGCAGCTCTGCTGCTGCTGCTGCTGCTGCTGCTGCTGCTGCTGCTGCTACTGCGTGCGAGCTTTGCTGCTGCTGCTGCCCCCAAGCAGCAGCAGGGGCGGCACGCAGCAGCGGCAAAGGCAGCAAACAGCAACAGGGCAGCACCCGTTGCAGCAACAAGAGCCGCCGCTGCTGCTGCTGCTGCTGCTGCTGCCTGTGGGGCCCTGTGGGGCCGTGAGGTGTCTAGACAGCGTGGGTGGCTCCTCCTTCTCTTTTAATTATTTTAATTCTATTTGCTGCTCTGCTTAGCTGCTTCTTAATTCGCACTGCATGCGCTGCTGTTGCTTCTGCTGGCAGCTCCAGCCTTCCGCGGCGGTGCAGCGACGCCAGGTGGTCTGCTGCTGCAGCAGCAGCGCCTTGCACCTGCAGCAGCAGTAGCAGCAGCAGCAACAGCAGATGGGCCATACACGCAATTGCTGCTGCTGTGGGGTTGCCGCATAGCCCAGCGAAGAAGCACTGTGCGTTAAACGGCGCAGAGCAGCAGCAGCAAGTGCAGCAGCAACAGCAGCAAGTGCAGCAGCAGCAGCTGCAGCAGCAGCAGCAGCACCTTAGTTGTCCTTAAGCAGCCCGTTGTTTCCTCTGGCAGCAGCGGCACTGCAGGAGACCCCACAAAGCGTTTCTGCAGAAAAGAGCAACAGCAAACAACATAAATAATAAACAGACAAACCCTAAACCCTAAACCCTTAACCCTAAACCGCGAACTAGGGGATAGGGTTTGAGGCTCACGGGGCTGCCTTGCGAAATGCGTGAAGCACACACAGATGCACAAATGAGGGTTTAGGGTTTAGGGTTTAGGGTTTAGCCTCACGCGGCCTATTTTGAAGGAGACAATCCCTTTCCTTGCTGCTGCTTCTTTTGCTTTTTCGCCCGCTAGCCTGCATCACACCTCCAAACCCTAAACCCTTAACCCTAAACCCTAAATCCCAAACCCTTATGCTTGTCAAAACCCTAGAGCGCGCGGGACGCAGCTGATCTGTACATCTTCGGCAGCAGCAGCAGCAGCAGCAGCAGCTGCTGCTGCTGCAGCAAGTCAGACTAACCTCTTGGCGCTTCTATCAGCCTGCTGCTGCTGCTGCTGCTGCAGCTCCTGCAGCAGCTGCGGCAGCAGGTCAATAGATTTCCTCAGGGCTTTCTGCTGCTGCTTAGCAGCGGCCTGAGCAGCAAAATAAAAGGGGTTTGCTTCCGCGCTAGGGTTTAGGGTTTACCACTAAAGCTAGAGTTTAGGGTTTGCGACTTGGCCTAGGGTTTAGGGTTTACAACGAGAGCTAGGGTTTAGGGTTTACAACGAGAGCTAGATTTTAGGTTTTACAGCTGGGGATAGGGTTTAAACTGTACAAATTGGTCTAGGGTTTAGGGTTCACAACGACGGCTAGGGTTTAGGGTTTGCAACTAGGGCTAGGGTTTAGGGTTTAAAAACAGAGTTGGAGGTTAAAAACAGTAGCGAGCGCCTACAGACAGGGTTTGGAGGCCTAGGGTTTTGAGCCTGCTAGGGTTTAGGGTTTTGAGCCTGCTAGGGTTTAAGGTTTAGAGCTAGCAAGGGTTTAGAGTTTGGAGCTTGCTAGGGAATCAGCTAGAGTTTAGGGTTTACAGCTAGGGTTTACTGGCCAGGGTTTACGGCCAAAAGATAGCTGGGGTTTGGGGCTAGAGCTAGCTAGGGTTTAGGGTTTAGAGGCAGCTAGGGTTTAGAAACAGCTAGGGTTTAGAGACACCAACGGTTTGCAAATAGCTAGGGTTTAGGGTTTAGGGTTTAGGGTTTAGAAGCCTACCCTGCGCAGCTGCTT